AAGCCTTAAAAAGGCCAATTAGGAAATAAAGCTTGAATAGCTTTTAGAGATTATGCATAAATGAGAGTAAATAAATGTTCTGACATTGGGTAACTTTGTTTTCTTGCTCCTTTCTCATGTAATTTATTCATAGTAAATGCTCCTCAGATACTGTTAGATATCTGAGGAGCATTTACTGTGTACCAAGCAGTGATAATAGATGTGGATATAATTGCACAGTTCTTTCAAGTAGTCTACTGATTAGTGATGAAAAGTAAACAAGCTATTCAAACACTTCAAGGTAGGTATTGGGATGAGAAGTTACCAAAAAGGTAGTCAAGGAACATGTTCTGCATCTAGTAGAATTTAGTAAGGTGTAGCAGTATGTACACAGGATTAAGGGTAAGAGAGGTGGAGTATTGCGAATGCAGAGATCCAGAGAAATGAGATTTAAATTAGAACCAGGGGCACCTGAGGAGGCAAGGAGGAGCCAGATCTTTGAAGGGCTTTATATGTCTTGCTAAAGAGCTTAATCCAATCCTGAGTTGGTCAGGGTGCTGAGAAGACTAGAGGCAGAGAGACTAAAATTTAGGAGTGTTTTGCCACAATTCAAGTGAGATAGTATTGTGGCTTAAACTCTTAGAGATAGTAGGGAGAAAGGTAGATGAAATGGAGAGATATTCAGGGAGTAGACTAGTCTGTTGCCTGTTGGGATTGATTATGTGTTGCAGGTAACAGGAGGAGTGAGATCTTTTATATGCCTTGATTTGTTGCCTGGAATACTGGATGGATGATGGTGGTAGCATTCAGGGCAGTAGAAGACAGAGGAGGAGGAAAAGACTGGGCAAAAATGATTTCACTTTAGGATGTTGAGCTTGTTGGGACACTCAAATGGAGATAACTGGTACGTGACTGAGTGTACAAGGTCAAGAGCAGGACTATCACAGACTCTTCCACATCTTCATATCACTAGAAACTCTGCAGATAACACAAGATCACCCTGGGAGAGAGTATAGAGTGGGGAGAGTAGAGGCTGGGACTCTGGCAGAACAGTAGTACTTACGGTAGTGATAGAGGAAAAGAAGCCTGAGAAGCAGTGACCAGGCAGGAAGGAAGAAAATTAGTAGTGCTTTTGGAAGGCTAGGGAAGACTGAATAGTAAAAGAAGCATTGGAACCTTAGAGCCAGATTGCATGGATTAAGGAAGCAAGGTGAAGTGAGGAACAGAAGACGTAAGTGTCAGCAGCAGCTTAAAACATGGGAAGTACTTGCCAATTACTTCTTGTACATCATGCTGTTCCACTCTGAGCATAGTCTTTAGTTAATTGAAATTTTTGCTAATATCTCCTGATCCTTAGCATACTATATCATCTTTTTAATTTCACATTTAAAATTTCCAGATTTTACAGTTCAGCACACATTGGAACAGGCAGCTAAACAAAGGAATTTTAATTTGAGTCATCATACAGAATTTTTTGATCCTGAAGTGATTCTCTAAGGAACCATTCGTTTATAACATTCCTAGGTGTTCTTTTTTTTTTTTTTTTTTTTTTTTTTTTTTTTTTTTTTTTTTTTTTTTTTTTTTTTTTTTTTTTTTTTTTTTTTTTTTCCTCCTCCAACTTGGTATAGAATACCTTTTATTGCTAGGTGATTAGGGAGAGCCCTGGGAGGTACTGTGGAGGTACCGCGGGTCGAGCAGAAAGCCTTTATGTATGTTCACATCCGGAATTTCTGAGAGTTTGTGCTTTGTAATTGTGTTGATGGATGTATTTTTGAGTGTCAGTAAATGTGAGATAATTTTTGTGTTTGTGCTTTCAGAACTGGAATCATTTTTCTGATAATGAGGCAGAGCGGGTTAAAATGATGGAAGAGGTAGAAAAACTTTGTGATCGGCTTGAACTGGCAAGGTATACCTTTGGAACCGCTATTGAAGTCTTCATTTGAGCTTAGGATAAAGTTTCATTTCTTCCTTTTTTTTTTTTTCCTTAGCTTACAGTGCTTGAATGAAACACTCACATCATGCACAAAAGAAGTGGGAAAGGCTGCCCTGGAAAAACAGGTAATAGAAGAACACATCACTGCAACCTATGTTTAGCATTTAATTCTGTTTTAACCTGTTTCTTTACCTAATATATGTTTCCAAGTGCAAGGTGTATCTGATTTCTCTGTGTCTCCCACTATGTTTTGTTTGTTTTTGAGACAGAGCCTCTGTCTGTCACCCACGCTGGAGTGCAGTGGTATGATCTTTGTTCACTGCGACCTCCACCTCCCAGGTTCAAGCGATTCTCCTGCCTCGGCCTCCCAGCTAGCTGGGATTACAGGTGTGTGCCACCATGCTCGGCTGATTTTGTATTTTTACTAGAGACAAGGTTTCATCGTATTGGCCAGGCTGATCTTGAACTCCTGACCTCGGTGATACTACCTGCCTCGGCCTCCCAAAGTGCTAGGATTACAGGCATGAGCCACCACATCCAGCCTGTATTTTGTTTATGTAGTAAGTGCTGTAGTTTATTTAAGTTGAATTTAATGTGTATGGTTTCTACCACACTTAGTGTTTGATTTGTGATATCTATCACATTGATCATAGGTTTTACAAAATCATTAGAAAAATAATTATTTTGATTATTCCCTGAGTATTTTCATAGGGCAATAACATTTAGAACCAAAAGAGATCTTCATTCTGTCTAGTCTATACCTTTGATCTTACAGATAAGAAAACAGGCTCAGAAATTCAATTCAGTTAAACAAGTATTAGTACCTACCATATAGCACTATGCCTAGGTTCTTTTGGAGAAATGCCTAATGCTATTTCACCACAAAGGACTTAGGCTGAGCAGAACCTTAAGGACCAAAAGATGGAGAGCCCACAGTGAATCTAGGAAGGGCCACAAGTTTTAGTGGCCAGGGAAGGCTCAGTATAGAGTTTAAACCAGCCTGAAAGGAAAGACAGAGTTAAAATGAAGGTCAGAAGAACACCACAAATTATAAAATAGAAATAGAAGTATAAAGTATGGTTCAGCCTGAGCAACATGAGCAAAATCTCTACCAAAAATACAAAAATTAACTGGGCATGGTGTCAGGCATCTGTAGTCCAGCTTCTCAGGAGGCTGAGGTGAGAGGATTGCCTGAGCCTGGGAGGTCACA